CAATGGCAATGTGGAAATGCAGTGGCAATGGCAATGTGGAAATGCAGTGGCAATGGCAATGTGGAAATGCAGTGGCAATGGCAATGTGGAAATGCAGTGGCGCCGGCCCCCTCGAAAAAAATCGTTACCCCTCTAAAGGCAGGAAATAGCGTTTCAGAGGGTCTAGATTTCAAATGTTTTAAGAAGGAGCATGTCCCCTGTGCCCCCTAATAGGGTCTGCGAAGGCTGGCAAGCAGATTGTGTTGGTAAAACAAAGTACAGTGGCAGTACCACCACGCTGTTTGTATCTCAGGGAGAACACTAAAAGATAAGGCATGTAACTTGACAGACTTTGGGTGATAATGATAGATACTTACCGAAATATGGCATTGATCTAAGTTCTGTATAGGCTCTAACTATTAAGAAGATAAGATACAATAAATAAATACTGCCAACTATGAAGAAGAAGATCTTTAAACCCTAAAAAAGAAATCAAGACAAAGTTATTATTACTTTGACAGATTAAGCCATTATTGTATCAGTAAATATCACAGTGGAATTACAAAATGAATTGAGTAAGTCTATGAATGTCGAACACATAAACTGACAGATACAGAGGAATCATTAAATTTCACAAGAACTTAATTGCACGATGTACCGTATTACCTCGGGCACGCGCCCCTCCCTGGGCAAGTGCCCACCCCCCTGTTTTCACAAAAGTTACATGTTGGGGACATCCTCCGTTAAACGCCCAGGGTGATTTTTAGCCCAAAACGGGGTCAACAATAAAGTTTTATTTGTCAAAAACGAACGTGTTTGATTTATTTAATAAATAGTGTGTTTGTTACGGTAGTTCTCTTTTTGGAGTGTGTGGTGGCCCTGAAAAGGGACGTTTTGTTTGTGTTTTTACGTAAAAACTCATTGGAACTTAACGACATAAGATGAACCATGCAGCATGTGGCACACACGTTCTGCTTTCTCTTCATTCACGATGAATCCAATATTGCAATAATCCATACCTTAGTGAGTGGTTTGAAGCACTTAGCTTTGGCAATTAGTTTCAAAACGTAGCACTTCGCTGACTGTGAATCCATAACGGGAGCTAGCACTTTTGAGATATCATGTCGTAAACTTGCTACTTTCTTTCCTTCTTTTATCACAGCTATGGCATTACGGTCATGTGGATTATTTTTCTGTCGTTGAAGGAAAAACATTTTGCCGACCTCAGGTCCATTACGATAACCATAATGAGGCATGCCGACGATGGAAACTTGTTGCATCATCGTTATTTTTGTAATTTTGTCATGTACGTGGGTGCGTGAATAAATCATGTTAATGAGGTCGACCAGAGTTTATTTTCAGTCTGTTTTTTTATGTATCGCCATTTGAATATGTTTATGTATTCACAATAGTTTGTAAACATTTCACATCAGTAATAAAAGGTTTATTTGTTTCATAACCCTGTCTGCTATTCAGTAATTACGATGCGAATTATGCTAATGAGGTCATCGCCATCTTGGATTACAAGCGGTAGTTTTTCCCGGCCGTTTCGACTTGCACTGATCACGGTTACTAAAAAAAGTAACCGTGCATTGATTACAATTGTTACCATACTTTGTAGCCAATTTCAGTGAGTAATACAACTTCATTCCTGACATAAAACAAGTTTTATTCTTGAAATTCGACCGATTCTTAGTGTTCCCACAGTTCTTGACCGAGTGCTCACGTTTATTGAAACCTCGCATAAATCAAGAAATAAGTATGTGTACAAAGTGCACGAAAGCATTCCTTTATTTGACCTTATTACACGACCACAAAAACAACTTTTTTAAATCTTTTTTGGGGTGGACCTCGGGTAAGCGCCCACCCCCAATTTTTCCCGATTTTGTATGTTCAGGCCCCTGGGCGCGTGCCCGGGGTAATATGGTATGTACATGTAGTATACTTTTGCTTGTATTCTATTCCACATTTTCATATATGCTTATGAATGAACAATGTCAAAGATGGATTCCAGGTCTGTTATGCTGACCAAGTATCTGCAGCAATACAGCAACAGAGGCCTATAACCATCAAACTACAGAGCTCAGAACATTACATATAAGTTTCTTCTAAACAACAACTTTCACATTCTAGGTGTAATCTGAGTTGGGGTACTAAGTATTCTTAATGTATGCCTTGGGCAAAACATGTTCACACGTTTTTGTTTGGGAAAATTGTGAAATTAAAAACATGCATATTTAACGATTCTACAGTAACGTGTATACAGAAAAAAAAATGAGATTGATGATAGAACAAACTTACTAAAAAACTACCAGTATCTACTTTATACTGGAAGGTAGGATCATTCAATTCATTATATTGTTGAAACGTTGCTAACGAAAATGCTGTCAGCCACAGTATACCAGTGATAAGTAACTTTGGGAAGTAGAAAGTTGAGATTCTTCTTTCACTCTGACAACAAATAATTTGATGAGTTATTACTGGGAGAGGATAGGGAAGTGATGACATGTGATTGCCCTACCATGACATGTGATTGCCCTACCATGACATGTGATTGCCCTACCATGACATGTGATTGCCCTACCATGACATGTGATTGCCCTACCATGACATGTGATTGCCCTACTACGACATGTGATTGCCCTACCATGACATGTGATTGCCCTACCATGACATGTGATTGCCCTACCATGACATGTGATTGCCCTTCTACGACATGTGATTTCCTTACCATGACATGTGATTGCCCTACCATGACATGTGATTGCCCTTCTACGACATGTGATTTCCTTACCATGACATGTGATTGCCCTACCATGACATGTGATTGCCCTACCATGACATGTGATTGCCCCTCTACGACATGTGATTTCCTTACCATGACATGTGATTGCCCTACCATGACATGTGATTGCCCTACCATGACATGTGATTGCCCTACCATGACATGTGATTGCCCTACCATGACATGTGATTGCCCTACCATGACGTGATTGCCCTACCATGACATGTGATTGCCCTTCTACGACATGTGATTTCCTTACCATGACATGTGATTGCCCTACCATGACATGTGATTGCCCTACCATGACATGTGATTGCCCTACCATGACATGTGATTGCCCTACCACGACATGTGATTGCCCTACCACGACATGTGATTGCCCTACTAGGACATGTGATTGCCCTACTAGGACATGTGATTGCCCTACCACGACATGTGATTGCCCTTCTACGACATGTGATTGCCCTACCATGACATGTGATTGCCCTACCATGACATGTGATTGCCCTACCACGACATGTGATTGCCCTACCACGACATGTGATTGCCCTACCACGACATGTGATTGCCCTACCACGACATGTGATTGCCCTACACGACATGTGATTGCCCTACCAGACATGTGATTGCCCTACCATGACATGTGATTGCCCTACTATGACATGTGATTGCCCTACCATGACATGTGATTGCCCTACCATGACATGTGATTGCCCTACCTACGACATGTGATTGCCCTACCACGACATGTGATTGCCCTACTATGACATGTGATTGCCCTACTATGACATGTGATTGCCCTACTATGACATGTGATTGCCTTACCACGACATGTGATTGCCCTACCACGACATGTGATTGCCCTACCACGACATGTGATTGCCCTACCACGACATGTGATTGCCCTACCACGACATGTGATTGCCCTGCTGTCAATCAATCACAAGCAGTTCTACTGAAGGTACACTTGGCATACATGAATGTAGACATAACAAGGCACTGAGATAAGAACAGAAATATGACATCTGCAATCAGAATAAGCACATAATTCATGGAAGTACTTGTAGAGAGTCATACCTGCCTCACAGCATGGTATAAACACAACCAGAATAGTAGCAATGCTGACAAGAATGTGGCCTGAGACAGATTATCTAACATTGTAGGAACCCAACTGTTGACAAGAAAAGTCAATGGAAATACTGGATCTGAAAATACAAAAAACAAATAAAGACACTGTAAGCACATCAATATTTGGTAAAGTGAGTCAACTTGAGATATTAATGAGTTGAGAGTTGGATTATTGATAGTGTTCACATTGGTATACAAGATACATCTCAGGTCAGGAAATATGGGATATATGTACTTACTGTTTGTCGATGACTATATATAACACAGGTCAGAGGTTGCAAGTTAAGAAATATGGCATATACTTACTGGTTGTAGATGAATTATACAACATAGGTCAGAGGTCACAAGTTAAGAATTATGGGAGATACTTACTATTGTAGAGTAAAAGAAGAGGTAATAAAACTGACATCCATTTCTGTTCAAATGCCCAGTCTTTCATGGAGAATTTCCTCAAAGAATGAGCAAACAGACACTGCAAGAAAAAATATAATGTATGGTGATTACGTACAGTTATACAATAAAACACAAAGATGAAATCACACTGTAATAAACATAGATTCAAATCACACTGTAATAAACATAGATTCAAATCACAGTGTAATAAACATAGATTCAAATCACAGTGTAATAAACAGATTCAAATCACACTGTAATAAACAGATTCAAATCACACTGTAATAAACTGATTCAAACCACACTGTAATAAACATAGATTCATATAACACTGTAATAAACATAGATTCAAATCACACTAATAAACATAGATTCAAATCACACTGTAATAAACATAGATTCAAATCACACTGTAATAAACAGATTCAAATCACACTGTAATAAACATAGATTCAAATCACATTGTAATAAACATAGATTCAAATCACATTGTAATAAACATAGATTCAAATCACACTGTAATAAACATAGATTCAAATCACACTGTAATAAACAGATTCAAATCACACTAATAAACATAGATTCAAATCACACTGTAATAAACATAGATTCAAATCACACTGTAATAATCACGGATTCAAACCACACTGTAATAAACATAGATTCAAATCACACTGTAATAAACATAGATTCAAATCACACTGTAATAAACATAGATTCAAATTACACAGTAATAAACATAGATTCAAATCACACTGTAATAAACATATATTCAAATCACACTGTAATAAACATAGATTCAAATCACACTGTAATAAACATAGATTCAAATCACACTGCAAAAACTTAACTTACCGTGACAATGAATGTAAGAACAAGGAATATAAATCGAAACCAGATTTCCACTTGTGTGAATGAAGGATTAAATGTGTCAAACTGAAAAACAAAAAAATAGAAAACAGTGTTACACCTCATTCTTGTTTCCCTTTTGTCAGTAACCTAACTTGTTCACTAGGAATATTATCACAATGGTATTTACCAAATGTAGGAAAATGATGCAAATTTCAATTAGAGAATTGAAGAAATCAAAGCAAACAGACTTGTCGTTAATAAGTTCAGAAAAGTAAAAATTGACGCAACTAACAACAACGTCGTCGTACAATCAGTCATATGACAGGCTCTGCTCAACAAAGTCAACAGTGTTTTTAATAGTCAGAATAGTTAAAGAAACATAATGGTGAAATTGATCATCAGGTAATCCCTCAGACAAACATTTGTACAGCTAGTGTATTCATCTATATCTAAGCTTTCAGATGATATATAGGTTGTTATAGAAGAATGCTTAGTACCGATAACTTTCAGAGAATTACTGAATCGTAGATCTATTTGTAACTTGTTTTTCCCAATCCCAAGAGTTCAGTGGACCAAATGTAAAAAACAAAAAAACAAAAAACACTTACCCGAAATACAATATTTTTCATATTCTCTTGTAATGATTCCAAACCATAAAATTTTAAGATGATAAGAAAGTTTGTGAAATCCAAATATGGGAGGTGTAACACTATGAATGTTTCACATTCCTGAAAAAAAGATGGAAAAGCACATGTTATTTCAGTGTGTCCAGAAAAGCACATGACATTTCAGTGTGTCCAGAAAAGCACATGTCATTTCAGTGTGTCCAGAAAAGCACATGTCATTTCAGTGTGTCCAGAAAAGCACATGACATTTCAGTGTGTCCAGAAAAGCACATGACATTTCAGTGTGTCCAGAAAAGCACATGTTCTAAAAGTTTAGAACTATGCAATAATATGGGACATGGCTACCACACATACTGTACATTGCAGGGAGACATTTAATGTTGAAACTTGAAACTAACATTTCTGTATACAATTTCATGAACAGCATTTTACATTGTGTTATCCAGGCAGCCCCAGTTCAAAACACAGGCAACCAAGGATACCTAGAAATGATGCAGGATTAAACAAGATCAGATTACTTACTTGTGCACATTTTATCCACCTAGTTCTATTATGTGCAGCTTCACTAAGGGAGTGCACTGTGGTATCTACATCTTGACCATGAACCTCAACACTCATCAAAAATGTTTTGGCAAAAACTTCATCTGTCAAGAAAACGATATAAAATGATGATCACATTAAGATAATTGGTAACCATTAAAAATTGATGTGGTTATTCACAAAGACATAAAATATGGTAAATAAATTAAGCGTAAACAATCTAAGGTTATTTCTCGGCAATTTACCATTGGTTTTATTGAACAGATCATGTCAAAACATTTAGTTCAGAAACATATGGTGAAGACATATGTAGTTATAATATGGGTGAATTTTATTGTTATGAAACATGGTAGCATAGATTCTCAAAAAAATTACAGTGCTTGTCTCAAATGAAAAATCATGCAACTATTTTGAACGACTGATTATCAGTGCTCTGTATTGATTGTTGTTTTGGGAATAGGAGTAATGCATGAAAGCCTATTAGGAATGTGACTGGCCAGTGAAAAGATACATCTGTTTGACTCGTACGACTTACCTTTTGCATGATCTAAAAATGGTTTTGCTGATAGCCATAGTTGCTGATTAAATGTAGATAATGTTGGTGATTTTAAATGAAATGGACCCACCTGAAAGAAAAAAAAACATTGATTTGAAACAAAATTGATTTAGAAATGATACAATAGTAAATATATAGGAAATTGTCTAATGTTTCAAAACCTAAAAATAATCAATCATTTGAGGAACTAGTTTTCATAATAGTTTTCCCATGGGAAGTAGCAATTGCCATGTACATAGATGCTTTGATAAGTGAGTTCCAATGATTAATGTAGTATATATTACAAATGGTGCCTTCATATTTGTCACAAAAAAATTCAACCCACCCCACTTGCTGAGCTGCCCATATTTCTTTCTGATTCTGTAGACATGTAAATAACAAACCATTTTGTTTGAGGTTGTTAAAAATCACAACATATGGCACCTTTATCCTGCAGCAATTCAGAGCAGCACAATAAAGTGAGTGTAAAATCCAGCAGTGAACAATGCCAGATGATGCTTTATTATAATGGTAATATTAACTTTGTGAACCATATTTGCTTTTTTCATAGTGCTTACCGGTAAATAAATTACAGAGGTGTTTCTGATTCAGTTTACATAAAATGTGATTTTTTTTAATTATATAATTTTCTATTGGATATGTGTATTCTATACCGAATCATTAACATATAATTTATTTTGACCATAAATACATCATTGTTATTTATGTGTGAGGGTCACAATACAAAAATACTTAGAAATTAGAGAAATCAAACTTGCAGCAAAAGTTTTAGATGCATCTATAGCAAAGTGAAATAGGCCAGTTATTGACTATCAGGTAAAACCCAGCACCTGTACAAATTCTAACCTGTCATAAATGGTGTTTATTTTTGAATTTTTCAGCATACATTATTATCTATAAATCAATATTAAT